CCTTAAATAGCATATGCAATACCAAGTAAATAATCCTCGTGTAAACAATTTCGTAGTGGAAATTTCAAAATAATTTAGGAGCAACATAAAAACTATTGGAAAGCACTCAGTAGTATGCAGTGAAGCAATGAAGCTATCCTAGGACAGTCTTGATGACAATGTTTTTACTCTAGCATGAGTTTGTACTTTACTCCTTCCTCTCTTCTAACTCTTCACAGAGCAACATAGATGCCCGTGAGAATACATCCTTTTTGAGAAATACTCCAACGTTCGTCAGGCTTTGTCCTTGTGCTTTGTTGAAGCCATCGCAAATGCGAGTCTTACAGAAAAATGTCGCGTCAAGGACACACGTTTGTCGGAGTAGTTCTCAATTCGTAGTGTTTCTCTTCCGCCCTCCAGAGGCAAAACGACACCCTAATATAAGGCGTTCGATGTGCGTAAGTCTTTTTCCATTGCAATCCATTTTTGACATCGAAATTTTTCAGCGGAATGACTATTGCACCTTGCTTCACCCTGAGATTACACGCGATGGTAGACGGAGGGCAAAAGACTATTTAGAATTTCTGCCCATACACACTATTACCGCAGTCGTCGCTCAACACAACATCTGCGCTTTTAGATATACATCAATGTTGGTGGAGTCAGTATGGCACGCTCGCTGTGTTTCAAAATCAAGCAGTTGATCTCCAAAAACATCAGCGATTAAATTACCGCTGGAAACTACCTTCGAAAGCTATATTTTGCCTTGGTAAATCTCGGAAGCTTCTCCATCACCAACTTCCACAAGAAGTTGCACCAAGTCGAAACAGAGGCTCCCGCTCGCCTATTTAGAAAAACTTTGTGAGTCTTCCCATGGCTGTTCTTCACGCATACCTCAATCATATCCGAGTCGTCCTCCGCTGAATTATAGGCAGAACATCGCCTCCTAACACAATAGCTTTTCCTCCGAATGCCACATTATTACACATAAGATGCAACAGATGATCGACAGCTTCTAATAAAAATTTGGACACCATGTCAATCTCATCCTAGATGATAATATCGGCATTTTTATGCGGAGCGGCTTCCTTGACTTTACGACGTAGAGAGTAGTTTCGATCCCAGATTGCATGTTCAGCTTGAGTGTGGAGCATGCGGTTCTTCCCTCAAGAAAAAGGCTTGCTGC